GGAACTATGCAATTCTCTCTTGTCCTTCAGCCCTTTTATTTTTATTATTTGCTAAATATACTAGTATATATTCATTTCAGTTCTGTGTGATAAAATATCTTAACAGTAATGTAAAGGAAAAAAGGGTTTGATTTCAACTGTAATTCTAGGTTGTTGTCCATTATTGTGGGGAAATTGTAGCAAAAGAGATTTGAAGCACCTGGTTGCCCCATATCTACAAGAGCAGAGAGGAAAGTGCATACTTGCTTGCTTGCTTGTGCTCAGCTCACTTTCTCCACTCTTACACAGTTCAGGAACCTGAGCCTAGGGAATGGTGCCACCCATACTGGGGGTCTTCTTCCCAAATCAACAAACTTAATTAAGAAAACTCCCTGCATGGCCAGAAACAGGGAGCTGGATGGCTCAGACACCAAGGGTATAACCAAAGATATGAAGAAAAAAAGTCAATGAAGTGATTCTAATAATATCCTGGTATACTCATAGATTGGTGCCTAGCCCAATTGTCATCAGAGAGGCTTCCTTGGGAGCTGATGGGAGCAGATGCAGAGACCCACAGCCAAACATTAGGCTGAGTTCAGGGAGCCCTGTGGAAGAAGGGGAGGAAGGATTGTAGGAGCCAGAGGGTTCAAGGACACTAGGAGGACATGACCCAAAGAATTAATGAAGCAGGGCTCATAGGGGCTCACAGAGATTGAAGTAGCAATCATGGAGCCTATGTGGGTCTCTACTAGGCCCTCTGCAGACATGTTGTGGTTGTTTAGCTTAGGGTTTTTGTGGTCTCCTAAGAGTGGAAGTGAATGTGTCTCTGACTCTTTTGCCTGCTTTTAGGACCCTTTTCCTCCTACTGGATTGCCTTGTCCAGCCCTGATATTAGGGTTTGTGACTAGTCTTACTGCATCTTGTTATCCCATGTTTCCCTCATCGCTCTGGAAACCCTGCTCTTTTCTGAAGGGAAACAGAGGAGCAATCCATCTGGAGGAGAGGGGAGATGGTGGTGGGGACTTGGAGGAGTGGAGGGAGGAGAGGCTGTAATCTGGATGTATTGTATGAAAGAAGAATAAATAAAAAGAAAAGAAAAACCCCAACATATACATGCCCACACACCAATAAAATGTACAGATTCTCTCACTGAGACTCTCTTCCTAGGTAATTCCAGGTTGTGTGAAGTTGACAATTAAAATTAACCACAACATAGTATTTCTAAAAGTTGTTTACTTTTTAATTTAATTTAACTTTTACTATTTATTTTTCATTGGTCAAATTACATAATTTCATATTTTTGTATATAACATGACATTTCAAAAACATATGTGAAAAAGTTAAATCAAACTAATCAACAGATGCACATACATTAAAATATACTGGCTTTTAGTATCTAAAGTATCTTTAAAGTATCTTTAGTTCTGGGATTGTACATGGACACCAATATCCACAGATGATACTGATCCTACATAAAATGTAATAGTATTTGCATGTAATCTATACACATCTTCCCATCTGCTCTAAATAACTTGTATGTCACTTTAAATACCCAACCCAATACATATGCTTTGCAAATTGTTGTTAAAAGAATGATAACTTGCATAAATATTCCATAATATATGTGGTGGTTAATATTGTCAGATGATCAGAATCATGCAGGAGACAAACCTGTAGGCATGTCTGTGAGATAGTTTCTAGACTGGGTTCACTGAAGTAAGAAGACCCATCCTAAATACAGGTAGCACTATACTATCCTATGGGGTTAGACCCTGGACTGAATAAGACGGAGAAGATAAGCTCAGCATCAGCCTTCACTTCTCTCTGCTTCAAGACTGTGGATGGATTGGTAACAGCTACACCCTGCTACCATGCCCTGCTACCATCATGCACCATACCCACTCAAACTGTGAGCTACTTGCTACCATGCCCCGCCACCCTTACGCACTAAATCCACTCACATTTCAAGCAAAAGTAAACCTTTTTCCTTGAGTGGTTTCTTTGCTTATCACTGTGTATTTGACAAGAGAAATGAGAAAATTAACTAAGTATGGGCATGTGCATTTTTTCTTTTGAGGACTTACTCAGGCCACAGTTGGTTATTCCAAGGAATAGGAACCAACAAATGGCTGCCATACCACAAAACGGTGATATCAAGCTAATTAATAAATGCATTACTCCACCTACTTATTTGTGATGAGTAACTTAAAATATAAAATATTAAAATTTTTCAGCACAATACCTTGATAAATATATTCAACATATTACAGATCAGTCTCCTAAACTTAGTTTTTCTAACTAAAGTTTTACAGCCTTTAATAGATACACTTTCTCTTCTTCCTACAGTCCATGGTGATTACCATCCTATTCTCTTGTTCCTGGTGAGTTTCTTTTGAAAATAGATTCTTCTCTAATACAATGCATTTCCCTCCCTCTACTCTTCTCAGCCCCCTGCCATCTCCCCTCTCCCCCAGGATCACTCCCCTCTGTTTCCTCTTCAAAAAAGAGCCTCCAAGAGACAATAACCACACAGGACAAAACAAGATACACCAAGACAAGGCAAAAGCCCTCACATTGAGGCTGGACAAGGCAACCTAATTGGAGGAAAAGAGTCTCAAGAGCAGGCAAAAGAGCCAGAGACACATCTGCTTCCACTTTTGTGCTAGGAGCTCACTGTCCTAACATATGCACAGAAAACCTGGTGTAGAGAGCCATGTAGGCCCCGTGTTTGCCACTGTATTATTCTCATATTAAGCCCATGTGAGCCCTGCTTAGTTGATTCAGTGGGCCATGTTCTCCTGCTGTTCTCCATCCCCTTTAATCCTATAATCTTTCTCCCCCTGTCTTCTGTGTGGTTCCCTGATCTCAAAGGGGAGGACTTGATGGAGACCTCCAGTATAGACTTTATCTCCACATAATGTCTGGCGGTGGGTCTCTGCACTGTCTCCCATCTACTGCTGGAGGAACCCTCTCTGACGGCGACTGAACAAGGCCCCGATCTATGAGTATACCTTAAGTGTTTAATTACACATGCTTGTGAAATCATATCTATTTGTCCTTCTGTGCTTGACTTATTTCATTTATATCCTCCAGATTCATCCACATTGTGGCAAATAACAACATTTGCTTGTTTTAAAGTAATTATTCTGAATTCATTACTTAACATGCCACCTTTTCCATCAATTATTCACTGCATATATATCCAAACTGAATGAAGTCAGTATGCCATAGAGACATTTGTGTTCATGCTCATTGTGGCATTGTCAAAAGAGTCACAAGATATGGATCCGTAACTGTCCATCAAAGGATGAATGGACAATGAGAATTAAGCTTAGATCTTTCAAGTAAGTTTCCACTTCAGCTGATCCTATCCTTTCCCCATGAATAGCACCTATTACTAAAGAGCATCTAGAGTTTCCCACTTTCTTTATTTATCAATACTTAGAAATTTCCATTTTGGAGTATTTACCAGTAAAAACCATGTTGAGTTAGTAGAACCATACTGTATGACTGAGATAATTTACTCAAGATGGGAATTCTTTATACATAAGCTTTGGTCTGTGGATGGAAGCTGCTTCAATGATGCAAGAGAATTGTGAAGGGAGATGCAGGATAATACAGTTGTGTTATCCTTCTCACAATTTGAAGATTAGTGCAATGACTCAAATCATTAACCCATAACAACATTGTTTTCAGATCCTAGATTCAAGCCTCATACTTGACCATGTCATTTGTCCTTCTGATTGCCTGCTCGTCTCTTACGGCCCCTAACAGCTTCTGTTGCAAAAGCTTTTCCTAAAGAGACAAGAACAAAGATCTGTTGTCCCAACAGGATACCAAACTCAGACTAAAGTAAACCTGTCCCAAAGTCCAACTTGGCACACCAATTAACTAATTGGACGTGTTTAGAGGGTATGGATGAAGGGCTACTTATGGCAGTGTGGCTGAGCCTCCAAATGCTGCTTCACACAAAGTTCCACCTCATCATGGATTACAACTTCATGGAATTTTTCTTCTGATAATATTTCATTTTATTCTAGCCTCACTTGCAGCGGAGGGAAGGGAGGGCTCCAGTGTGAGTGAGCTGATATAGGACTACTCCAACAATATTGTTGAAGCCAATCCAATAAATCCCCTTTTAATACATGTTTATGTTATATGGTTGTGTTCTGGAGAATCCTAAGACAGAAGCTATATAATGTTATTTCAAATCTAGACAATGAAGTATCAAATAACAGAATTTTCACACATACGCAAATTATAATTTGGATATAATTATTTCCTATACCTCTACTTGGATTCAACAATTAACAATAGGACATTGTAGCAATAGCTTTGCCTAACATTCTGTCTTTACCATTTTTCTTTCTTGCTACCATATTTTAAGCAAACCCAAGACCTCGTATTATTTCAATCTCATGTATTCATTAGCATCTTTAAAAGTTTTTGACATTTTTCTTAACAACACCACAACTAAATCTAAAATTTATTCCTTAATAACTTTAATAATCTTCCTATGCCACGCCCCTCTGAAAAATATGGAGCCTGTTTCTTCAGTCTCTTGAATGTGAATTAAGACTATGATACTTGTAGTAATTAAATATGACAGAAATATCATGGTGTTAGATCTAAGCCTGGTATTATTTTATTCATATGTTTCTTTTCTTTTTTTCTGCTGTATTAAGGTATGATGGTGAACTGAAAATTACATGCATTTAACATGGTATTTGACAAATGTATATACTGTGAAATAAATACTGGCACTTAACACAGTTATATTTTTTGTGATGAGAACACTTAAGATCTGATCTCTTAATAACTTTTGAGTGTACAATACAAATATTAGTGCCCAGGTCTCCATGTTTCACTACAGATCTCCAGAAGTTACTACACAGAGTGAATTGCTTCTAACTTTTAAAAGACCAGCAGTTTCTGTTTTCTTCTTGTTGGATTCCAGCCATCCTGTTGTGAGGCAGCCCCAGGTTCACGTGAAGATACCCAACTACAGGCTCCTGTGACAGCTCCAGCTAGTTTCCAAGGTGACAGTGAGCATCATTGTTCTAGCTTGGTGAAAGACGTCAGCTGGAAAAAATATTCACAAGCTGCTGATGACCCGTCCCACCCCAAGCCTGGTAAGTGCTCTAGCAGAGACCTGGCCCCTCTGAGGCCTAACCAATGATAAAATCATGAGAAAATAATTGAGATTGAAGCAGAAATTTCTCTCACTGGCTAGGGCTGTAGGTAATGTAGAGTCCAACAAGGAGAGACAAGGGGACGGTGTCCAAACGCAGGAGTTACTGTGTCAGCTATTTTTAAAATGGTATCCAGTGATATGTCCACGATTTTTCTCCCCCTGCCCTTCTCTTTCAACTTCTTAATTATGATTGGGGTGCAATAAGGAAGGCCCTGCATATTCTACATTATAAGATCCCATTTGACTTCAGTCTGTAGGAAGTAATGTACACACGAACAGTGATAATTGCTTGTTTGCTCTGAGTTAACCTTCAGTGTGGAAGCCATCCAAACGACTGGCTCAGGAGGAATGCAGGACTCAGTGGCCTTGGTGTTTGTGACTTTTCTCCCTGCTCTAGTCAGGAGATGATTTAAAAAAAAAAAGCAAAGAATCAACACCATCAAACTCAGAGAAAGACTGACCACTCAACCAGAGGGGCAGGACCAAAATGGAGTGGTTGACTGCCTCCATTTCTCTACCCTATACACTCTTCTGGTTGAAGACGAGATATACGACAGCTGTTAAAGAGGCTATTGCACTGTTTTCTCTGGTTGCTGGACCCCTGAATATAAAACAGCTTACAGATTTAATTCCTGTTTCTTGTCTGCGTGATGAGCAGTAGGGCTACTTATATTCACGCTCACATGCTATTATGAGGTGACAGGTTTTGTGTGTATGTGTTCCAATAACATCTCCACGTGTCTCCTGCTGCTCAGCCCTGTCCCACCACTGGTCATTGAGTGGGTTTGCTCCTGCTCATCCATACCTTCTCTGAGAAGCCAAATCTGTGCTATGATCCTTTGCTGTACTTTGTTCTCTCTGATTCCCAAGTCCCTAGTTTAAGAGTTCAAGTATCTCTGCCCAGTGCAGTCCCATGTGTGGAAAGAAAAGAAAGTTTGCACCTACCAAAAGTGAAGTAATTACAGAGAGGTGAAAAATAAGGCCTTTGTCTATGTAGGACCAGAGATCATTCTTTTCACTCCTTCCTCTGTGCATGATTTCAAATAAGAAAAAGTGGCTATGATGAGCACTTAAACAGCTTCCGCAAATCCAAGCTTTTAAACCTTTGTAAAACATCAGTTCTCTGCAGTTATTTTTCCACTTGAAAATTTCCTAACTTTTATGTCTGTTGTAGGCAATAAAAGCAATAAAATATCAAAACATTGTTTTTGCAAAACATCTGTGATTTGTTTAAAATTACTCCAGGGCACCCATTTGCCATATCCCTTGCTATTTCGAGGAGGAGAATGGGTCCTCATAGATACAAAAGTGCCCCATTGCCTACCCTAACATTTTTCTCCTCTCATATACTGAGAATACATATGCTTTTCTTTCACAGACTCGGTATACCTTGTAAGGTGACATGACTTGGCATTTTCACCAAGTACTTGTCATGATGTTGTGCAAAGAGAACAAGTTTTGGATCCAGTCAGACTCATACAAAGACTTGCTATGAAGTTTGTGACAAAACTTCTACCTGTATGAAAGAAATATGAGGATAATACCCATATTGAAGTATTTCATATGAATTGATATCAATGTATTTGGATTAATTTCCAGAAAAAGTTTAATCAGTTACTCTTATGAATTAGTTTAGTTAACCCTTCCCATTAAAGGCTGTTCTAAAGATGCCACTAAGTTCTGTTGTCTCACTAAAAAGCAAAGAAGGACATCATGGCAAAGTGAATCAAACAAAAACAGAAAAACCTTCATTCTGTACTGATCATTGGACCCACTAAGGCCTGTGATAGAGTCTCCAAAAACTCACTTTCAGTGTTTTTATATACAAAGGAGAGAAATAAGTTGTTATTAGCATTTTTCATGTAATAACAAAGCAACAATAAAACCTCTATAAATACAAATAACTCAAAGCACCATTATTCTAAAGTTCTAAGGATGCAACACACACCTAATCATTGCTGGAATATCATTGTACACTATTGGGAAGCTTTGTTCTAAAGTCCATCTAGGTTTATGATACTTGTAATGGAAATTTCAGACAGGAAGTGACAGTCTGAGTGGAAATAGGGAAATTCTTCATGGCTAGAAGTTCATGAACCTAGCTTTTATATGCAAATCTTACACAGCTGCATGGGGTTATAGCATAGACAATCCTGAGGCCATGTCCCAAGATAGCACTTCTCATTAGACTGGAATAAGCTAAAACATATAGTTCTCTCATTACAAAGGAAAAGCCCCAGCCAAATAAGTAACCATTCATTCTCTGAAGTCCAGTGTCAGCTCAGACAGGCCAAATACGAATTGATGAGTTTCAAGAAGGTATAATTAGAATAATTAGAAGCATAAATAGTAATCACAATAATATCTGTCATTTTGACTATGCGGCACAGAAAAGAATATATCTGTCTATTAACTAGTTAACACAGAACCATTATAACTACCTTTTAAGTATCACTTACCAAGAGGAATATAGTCACAAAGAGAGATACAGGGAGATTATAAGCTATACATTGTGACCTGAAGGAAGTAACTTATCTCTTTCATACTGGTTCTGTACAGAAACTAGGGAGAGTTGAGTCTGTTAAGGGTTACAGAAATATATTGTTTTAGAAATACTGGCATTTCAAGCTTTAATCCTATTAAATGTTTTGAATATTTCTTGCAACTAAAGTAGAACTGGGCAAATAATGTGATATTAAGGAGTCTAAGAAGCATGTTATACAGAGAAGTAGTTTGCACGTAACACCTACCAAACTTGACCTATGAAGACAAAGAAAACTTTTTAAACCAGAAATAAGCAATAAACTGAACCAGTAACCAAAGGTCCCAACAGGAAAAGCACCAGAGCAGATGGCGTCCCTGCTGGTTCTACCAAACTGGTGGAGAGCAACCAGCATCAATACTCCTCACCAAAACCAGAAAGACACAACAAAAGTAGAACTATGGACTAACGTTTCTGATGGACACAGGTGTAAAAAGTTCTCATCAAAATGCTGGCAAATTACATCTAACAGCACACCAAAAAAAATGTTTTTGCCAGTGGGTAAAGGTGCTTGTCCAGCAATGCTAGTGACCTGAGTCTGATTCCTAGAACTCAAGTATGACAAGAGAAAAGAACTGACTCCATAAAGTTGTCCTTCAATCTCACCACATACACCAGGGCACATGTGTGCCTTCCCAAACACATCACACACACACACACACACACACACACACACACACACACACACACACACACCAACAACAACAACAACAACTAATAATAATAATAAATCATTCACTATAATTAACTGGGATTTGTAATAGAGATATAAGAATATGAAAATCAGTAACGTAATATATCATTATCAATGAATTACAGGATAGAATCATGCTCATTAAATAGATGCAGAGAAGCATTTGATAAAATTCAGTTTCCTCTCCTGGTAAGAAAACCAAACAAATTGCTTATATAAAGACTGTACTTCAGCATAGTAAATGCTATATGTAATAAACTCATATCCAATATTTTATTTACTGGTAGAAAGTTGAAAGCATTTCCTATAATAGCTCTAATGATGCAGTTATGTTGATTGTCTCTACTTGTGTTCAATAAAATATTGAGAGTATTAGCCATAAGAAATAAGCAAGAGAAAGAAATAAATGTATGCAAATTACCTTTGTTTGCCCATGGAGATGACTCTATATAAGAAAAAAAACTAAAACTCCAACCAAAGATTATTAAAACTAATAAAGGAATTCAGCAAAATTATGGAAAACAAAATCAACATACAAAGGTTAGCAACTTTTTAAAAATTATTTATTTTTATTTTATTTTACATACCAACCACAGTTCCCCCAATTCTCCCTTCCCCTCCCTCCATCTCCCTTCTACCACCCTCATCATCTCCTCTGTCTCCATTAAGAAAGGGTAAATTCTCTCTTGGGAATCCATAAAGCACGGCATATCAGTTGAGGCAGGCCTAAGCTCCTCACCCTTGCATCAAGGCTGAACAAGACATCCCACCTTAGGGAATAGATTTCAAAGAGCCAGCTCATGCATCAGGTCCTGGTCCCATTGCTACAGGCCCCACAAAAGACCAACTTACACAACTCTCACCCAGATGCCGAGAATCTAGGTCAGTCCCATGCTGGCTCCCTATTTACTGGCTCCCTATTTGGTAAACTACCAAAAAAGAATTCAATTAAAACTATGACTGGAGCTTGACCATAAAGAAAGTCTCATCCTTGAAACTTGTCCTTCTTAGTCCTAGACTGTTGCTTAAACAATTTTTATGCTTTGAAAGATAAATAAATAAAAGTAACTTCACAATATCTACAAAACAGTTACTCAAGAAATAAATACAACCAAGGAAGTGGAAGTCCTCTACAATGAAAATCATGAAACAATGATTACAGAAAAATGAAGAAGAAAAAAAGAAAGCAATCTGGAACAAAAGGAATCAAGTTGGAGGAGTCCAAACACCAGACTTCAAAACATATCCCAGGACTATAGTGACCAGATACCATGATACTGACATGAAAACTGACACACAGACCAGTGGAGCAGAATGGAGTCCAGGGATGTATGCTCATATCTGTGACCAGATGGTTCTTGACAGAGTTGCAAAAAACGTACATTGAAGAAAAGAAAACCTCTTCAATGAACAGCACTAGGAAAACTGCATCGATGCACAAAAGAACGAAACTTGGCAATTCAAAAAATTGAATATTCAATTTCTTTTTGAAGTAATTCAAGGTCACTGCAGAAAAATATTTTTAAATAGCATCTCATACAGGCAACAAAAGCAAGAATAGACAAATAATTATTTTCCAACCCAAGATGCTTTTGCACCACAAAGAAAACAGGCCTGAAGTAGCAATGTACAGAACAAGAGAAAAAATTGGAAATATATATATGTATGAAAAAAGAATAAAATCCACAACTGTAAGGAACTT